GTTTTCAATCCAGTCCCCGCTCGGCAATTTGACGTCTATGTATTCGTCTGTGTTGCCAAAAACGTCGCCTGCTTAAGCTCCCTATTTTCCTGCAGCCGAATGAAAACTTGTGAGAAAATATTTTTGGTTCCATTCACTTTGTAGTACAATGCAAGTATATCACACAAAAATGTCAGACAGTCTAGTAACAAACCTCTATATACTGATCTTCTAATTCCTGTCGTAGCTGTTTCAAATGTTGAAAACGAACAATCAAACTACAACAATACAACCAAATGCAAAAATTGGAATATATCGACAATTTTCAAAATTGGGAGAGCAGTTCTAAAATTGAGAACTTGGTTTCCTCCTTGCTATCCATTTGGTTTCCTCCTTGCTATCGAGTTAAGAAATTGACCAAGCATGTTTTAAGGTCACCGGCGTTTCATTTGAAAAACTTACTTTTCCGGGGTCGGAATTTACAGTACATTTAGTAGTAGATATCTCCAACATACTGTAGTGTTGTAGACTCGAATCATGCGACTTGGCCTCGAGTGGCAATTTCGTGACTTGATTTGCTAATCACATTAACGGCTTGTGTCTTGGATTCGAACAAAATGACCCGTGTCTTGACTTGGACTTGAACAAAATGACTTAATTGTGACTTGACTTAGACTTGCAAGAAATGATTTGTTACCATTACGCAAATCAACCATAAAGACGTGTAATTATATATACTGTATCTAGTGGAATTCATCGATGCAACCATATCACAGTATAACTCTGAGCTACAGTAAGTTATAATTGTCACGGATGACTGATAAAAGAACTGTATAGAATGACTTGCGATATGACTTGATCACAGACAAAATTATTTGTGACATGACTTGAATTGACTGGCTACTACTTGTGAATTTTTAAAAGTTGTCAACGTAAATTCTTTCATGGTTGAAATTTTTTTGTTAAAGCTTTTTTACACAATTGTTCACCTATTATTCAAAGGCTTTCAAAAATTATTCAGGGGGGGGGATGGGAGGCTAGTGTCCGTCACTGCTACTACTAATTATAAATTGACACCAACCACATTTCTCTACTAAACAAATTTATGCAATACTGAGATCATGAAGCTTACTATTCGTCAGGCATTTTACTAGCCTATATACGGAAAAGCGTAAATTTCGACCCCTGAATCATGCAAGGATTTTTTTTCCAAATTTCGCTGAAACCATACCTGTATATGACTTACTGTACACAAATAGGACAAGTAGTAATATTAGGCAACCAAGATGTATTCTATATGGCTCTGCTAATTCTGTTCTAGCAACACCTGCAATATTACATAGTCCAAGCGTCCACGGTGGCAGCTTTATCTGCCCATTCTTTTCATAGCAACAAAACCGCAAAATCTATCCAATTTGGATAGAGATCAGTTCAGTTTGAGGCTCTAAATACCTCACAGTTGCATTTTTATAATGAAATCTATTTTTCAAATCAGCGCATTTTTTTGGCACTGCATTTCGATTGAATAAGTCATACTTCAGTCAGCCAATCATAATTTAAAACACTTAATTGACATATACTCACTCAGGTGCTGGTCCTGCTGCTTGGTTCCTTGCAAAGTTTACAACCCAAACTATACAAAGAAAAGTTGTTAGAAATACACAACCAACAGTCGATTCAAACACTCCAGATGGACGTCCAGGGAATCGTATATGGGGATTCCCACAACTCCCACAGCAATTCAGCAGGGACTAGTACCCAGGGTCTCTCAGTTTGAAAGTGTGCAATTATTGTGTGTGCCAAGGTGTAGTATTATTGTGATGGCTGATGGTAAAGTAGGTGCTCTAAACTTAGACTATTATGTCAAGACAGACTTGCATGAAAAATTGCGGTATAAATTGCAGAACAAAATTGCATTTGTAAAAATTTAACATTGCAGTATATATTTGGATTTTTATCTCTATGAGCCCTTGGCACAGCCAGCAGATCAAGCAGAAGAGGCAAGGACAATGATGATGTCATCAAGATATTGTTGGGTGGGTGGCTGTGAACACCAAAGGTGTGAGCCTGCTAGGGGGGTCTGAGGTCATGCTCCCCCGAGAAGGGGCCTGAGCCCTGAAAAAAAGGAATAAAAAATGGTCTGTAAGAATTACTTAGAAAAACACCCAACAAGGCATTGTAAAAAGAATAAAATGTGCTGCTTACATAGCAATTTTTATTTTTTCAATCTTTCTTTCAATTTTTCATAAAATGTTTTCTTAACCCATTAAGCGCCAGCACTCTTCCCTTGATGAGTACAATTGTCTGGCATTAGACAGAGTAAATTAATAAAGTAGGGCACAATGCAACTCAATGGGTTAAAGTCATGGCAAATTCGCTGCATATTAAGTCGGATGTTATATTGTGCACACATCCTTGCCCAACATTTCTGAAAAGATTTATTTAAAAGCATCTCAGAGGTGGTCATAAAGGAGAGTGGTGGAACGATTGTCCCACCCCAGTCTACCCCTACTGGCAGCTATGCCTTTGAGGGCTCAGCATAGCAGACCATGGCTTTTTCTTATAAAGTGATATACAGTATGTTCTTTTACACACTGTGATCTGGCAAACCAAGTCAGGATTATTAAACTATGACAAATTTTGTCATTGGTGATACCGTAGAACCACTGGAAGATAAGCCCCACGTATAAGCCCACCACATGTACGCCTAACACTCGCCTCATTCTAAATATAAGCCCCCATAAGCCCACCAATATAAGTCCACTTGTTTATCACTATTGTTTATCAAGTGCTATTACCACTATTAATCACTATTATTACTATGCTTAACACTTTTGTTTATCAATTATTACTATACTTGTTTAAACACCAACACAAAGATCGCCCATGTATAACCCCTGTATATAAGCCCCCCTTGTATAAGCTCATCAAAAATCAGTTACAAAAAGAATATAAGCCCAGGGCTTATAGTCGGAGGTTTACAGGTATTAGAGAGTTTCGGCATTCATCTTCCCAGAGTCAAAGGTCTTATAACTGTGATACCAGACAGATGGAAGCTTGTTCACAGTTTGTAATTCTTCCTGACTGCAATCAGGGAAACAGGAGCTTGTCCTGCAACACAATGCTCAACTTCCTACAAAGTTGCAACCTTGATCTCTGTCCGGAGGTAAATTAAAACCTGGAAATGCATGGGCCTACTTTTAGTACAGTATTTCACTCTGTCTGTAGCCAGACAATTTTACTCATCAAGAGAGATCTGCCACACAGTGGATTAATCAGATTATCTGCGGAATGGATGCATCTTGTTTACAAGTCACAATACATGCTCCCTCTGTGTAGGCATTTCACTCATCAAGGAGAAAGTGCGCTGCCGCATGCTCAATGGGTTAAAAGTTGTTTTCATTTATATGAGAGGAGGGCCAACCCTCCTGATCAAGATCTCAACTACCCAAGATGTAGCCAGCTATAGCAGGGCTGGAAATTTCCCACATAAATGCCCAGGGATGGTTGGCCCACCTAGTAGGAGTGAATAAAATCCTGCTGTATCTTTGTCAAACTCGACCTATATCATTTGTTGTGATTGAATTCGTCCAGTTACATGCATCGTGGGTGTATAAGCGCAAAGGCCGCACACAAAATCGTGCAAATTTGAGGACGGTTCAGATTTTCTCCAATTCCATGCAAACATGTCCTGATTAACCTGGCCATTTAAATGAACTAATCAAGTTCATATTTAAATTTTGAATCAACTAAGTTCAATTAGGTTCTCAGTGACAGGGCAAATATCAACTTCAAACTTCAATTAATGCTTTGTATTTACAGATCAAAATAGTTCATTATAAGTACTTACTAGCGAGAGCAACACACATCAAGTAAAGGAACGTTCTTGCTCGGCTAGACACCAGTGAAAATGCTCGTATGACAACCATTTTAAACTTGAATTAGAACCTGCATCCACATCTTGTGAAAAGCATCATATAAATGAATAAATATTAACTTTTTTAATAGAGATCATATTTAATACAGCCTCGAACTTAAATTATCTTTTATTTATTTATATACATACCGAATATAGTTTAAAAATGCACTACATATTCACGAACACGTCGACAAAACGCAAGACAAAACAATAACAAATCAACTCATTCAAATCATAGTTCAAGTCTTCGATCATTTATCTTCGGAAATTAGCTACCAGTCTCACAAGCAAACCCGGCCCAGAACACCGATGGTAACCAGTGATGGTAACTGGTAACTGGTATTTTCGTGAGACGTGAATTACCAATATTTAACTTCTCGTGAAATATCAAATAATGGATTTGGAACTTCACTTAAAACGCTTAAAAATGCGTATGAAGTTCGTCGACTTTGCTATAAAGCGATTTATTGTGTAGCTCATTATGTATGCAGATGTCATATATGTATATCCTAGTAGGATATACAAATTATAACATTATATACATATAATTGCTGGGCTATTGTGGTGAAACGTGATTTACATACCTAGCCGTGAGTCGAGATTGCCGATAATTTCTAAAAGTGGGCGCCAAATTTTTAGGTAACCTTCTCTACGTACGGGATCGATACCACGTCCTTTTGTTGTCACATGCAACACCCCCTCCTACCCACCCCCCACCCCCCCCACCCCTGCTTGAACCTCTTCGCGACAGCCCTGTTGCTGTGCCTGTTGAGGCCAGTAGAATAAAGACTGGACTAGACTTTCACAAAGTCCTTTTCAAAGACGTCATTTTCCATCTGATCTTTAATATTCGCCCAATAAAGGTGGGGGAAATTCTGAGGCGAACTGTGGCAAGTCCGAAGACTGGACGAGCATCGGAGAAGCTAGTGCGATTGTGCGAACATGAAAAGCCGAACAGTTCAGTGCATGCACGTGTATTCTTGATTTTTATTTATACTAGATTTAATATTGGTTGGTTTTAAAAATATCCAATGGCAATCAGTTGACCTTTCAGTAGACAATCAGTGTAATTAGTTAAAAAAAATAGGCCAACGGGTTAAGAAAAACATTCAAATACTGAGTATAGAAAATAAAATTTGCACAGTTTAAAACGTGTTTTTTAATTGAAAGCAGTGAAACGTGAAGTGGCTGTTTTTCATCACATGAAACGTTATCCAAACCCCTCTTTACTGGCTACGTACAGTGAGAACCCCCGCCCCCCTGAAAAAAAGCCAAAACTTTGCCAAAACACTACTACCACCTAGCAGCCACCAGGCGCATTGTTTATAAGTTGAGTGATGATTTGACCTATTGAAGGGGAACGCCGGATCAATTTGTTTGACAGTAATGAAAAAATAGACTCGTAAGGGCGGAGCGGCGTTATATAGATTGTTCTGTTATGGCGTTATGGCAAACCAGTTTCATATTATTCATATGAAACTAGTACAAATGTAATAACTAGTGAAGCTAATTTTTCATGTCTACTATAGCATATCACAGGCAAGTGCCATAGACATTCGTAATGACAAAGGCACCCATTATGCTTTTCGCGCTTAGACGTCGAGGTTTTGCGGTGTTTTGAGGACAACTGAATACGCGATTGTTTCGCTACAAACGTTTAAATTTCGGTACTAGTTCCAATGCGGCAATGCCAGTGAAGTTTTTAAAGGCACAGTTCAGCCTTTTGATTGATGATTTTTAAGACGCATTTCAGGCCTTTTAATTGGAAAAACTAACTAGGAAAATCAATTCAGCATAATTCAAGATCAACGTACAAACTTAAATTAATGTTTTTAACATTTTAAATTATGCATAATTGAGTCCTAGTTACTGAGCAGAAGGTTGTCACAATGTCAGCGGAAACAGAGAAATTTACGTTCAACCAAATGCCACTAGTATGACTAGTGATATTGGGGTACTCCAGCCCAACAAAAGTGCAAGCAGTGGAGAACACACCAATACTAGATTCCCCTTTTTACGTTTTCGTAGCGCTTTGCATTGTGGTTATAGTGGTATCACTGATATTCAAGATGGCTTATTTTTTGTCCTGACCCGTGCAAGAACTTTTAAAAAACGCTAGGGTCAGGTGCGCGATTGCCAATAGCAAAATATTCACCAAAACATTCAATATTTTCATTATTTTGAAAAATTGCTTTTCACATTGTTTTAATGCCACCCAAAAATGGCGGATATTCGTCATCGTGAGAAAGGCTAATTTCAGAAATGCGATCGTTTCCGGCTTGGCATGGAAAGGAAATTTTAACAAGAGGGACCCCCCCTTCGACTACACCCCTGGGAAAAGCAAAGCCGACAAAGAAAAATGTCGCTTCGAGCGAACAAATTCGCCTAGTGGAAAACCATCTTATACTACTGTTTCAACAATTTGTCGTCACTCAGGATGTGTTCGCACTGCTTGTTCCCAGCTAAGATTCAACGCTGAATCAGTGTCAGAGTTGTTCCAACTTATACAAGTTGTTCCAACAACTTGTTATCGTCCGGCAAATTCAACTTGTTAACAAGTTGAACGTTACAATCTTGTTGCAACTCAACAAACTAACAACATTGTTACATCTTCTTGACAAGCTTGCCACAACTGGCCACAACCTGTTGCGAACACATCTTGTTGACAACATCGAGATTTTTACGTGGGTACCAGACAAATAAAACTCAGCAGAAGTTTAAATAGTAATTATCCAATTTCTACTAAGATCACGTATACGTATACAGCATGTCTCAATTTACATTAAATTATTCACACAATTAAAACAATTGAAACTACATATTTAAATTGCAACTTAACAATACTGTAGCGTTATCTATGATAATAACTTAATACAATGATACAGGTTTATGTGCAAAAGTACTATACTATGTGAATGGGGGACGGGGGCAGATTAACGTACTACAGCATATCACACAACGATATATTATAAAGTACACAAGAAGAGGTCAGCAGGCATACACAGTTATGTAAAAATGTCAAAAATTGTTACAGCATTGACCGGTGGACTTAAAAAAAAAGCAGCTGTTGATACACTTTAATAACACACAGATTTAAGAAAGACGACACAGCAACCTCACAACGCGGTCTCATTTCAGCTAAAAATGGGCACTAAGGAACTTGATTCCTGTTATATTTGAAAATAACTTTACAAACAGCCAGCCTGGACTAAGGTTTATAGCTCTTTTTCACACGGGAAGGCTGGGACCCAGCCGATTTGGATCGCTGTACTTCCAATTTCGAATGTGTACTTTCCATATATAATGTCAATAAATATTTCCTGCCAATAGAAAAACCTGTCTAGTACACGCCTATAGGTCTTGGCAAACAGCTATACGATCGGGAAAAAAGTTCTGCTATAACGCAGATTTCTTGCAACATCTCTAACGTCGCATCAAGCTTTCACATTGCTCGAAAGAGGTGAAAATCGTATAATTGTGTGTTCAGAATCACAATGGATACAACTCATTCATACTTTTTGTCTCAAGAATTTCTTTGTTTCAATGGCGTTTCTTCGAGGTCGCCCCGTTTTTTCTAAACCTGTCTAATGTTCTCAGATGTGAGAAATGTGTCAGAAACAGATTATAAGATAAAAATTAGTTTTACGTTTGGGTCCAATCAACCAAGGGTTTCTGCTTGCAAATCTGAAACGTACATATCATTTTAGTATACATTCCAAGCTGTTCACCTGCACAGCACTGTTATCAATGATAAATACACGATAATGCTGTAACAACACGTAGTAGTAATGGTGGGGTAAATAGAGCCTTCCTCTGTATTTCCAGAACTGATCAATGAGCATTGTTTTGCTTTGAAGCATGATAATTAGTAAAACATGGTGCACAACTTTGCTTAGCGAAATTTTAACTTAAAAATGTTAACTACAGGTGGGGTTCACTACGCAGTAGCGTCAAGCAGGCGGCGGTCAACCAGTTGTTCTCAGAAGAAATATAACGTTAATTATTTTCAATATTTGTTGCTTAATAATACACATGAAAAAATGAACAGTGCAATTTTATCGAAATCCAGTCCAAGAAACGAAATACGTCACAAGCCTAAACAAAAGACATTTTGAATAAAGTTTTGACTTTTGACAGTTGAAAATGTGTATTAAGTTGTTGTACAATTCAAATGAGTGAGTAAACTACTCACTGTGTTTCATGCATGCAAGGGATCATGAATTTGCTTCTGTACAATTTTTTCATATATATTATTAGTAAGTAATAGTATGGTTTCTCGTGCAATTCGGGAAACATACACTTGTGAATTTTTCAAATATTTCAAATTGCATTCGACCTTCGGACTCGTGCAAATTTGATCGTCTTTGAAAAATTCACTCGTGTATGTTTTTTCCTAAATTGCACCGGAAACCATACTATTACGTATACGAATAAACAAAGTGAAGAGATCTATTCTAATTTGTTTGTTCCTATAAATTTCTGACATTGACTACCATCTGCTTGCTATAGCATATCTTACTGAAATCCACCAATATTACGACGTTCTCCAAGGTGAACACATGCAGTTGTAACGTGGAAGATACCACCCCGAATGTTCTGCAGTTCTTTAGCTCATTCCAATATCTTTGAGGGCGGAAGTTTGTATTCCAAAAGAGGTCACAAACATAAACTAGAGAAGGCTTACAGAATTCAGTACGCCAGTAAAATTGAATGCTGAATTTCGGGCAAAGGAACATACTTGAACGAAGAACATCGATTTCAATTCCACCACGAAACTCGATGTAAAAAATATTGCAATATATATGACGAAAAGTTCCCAATTTTGGAGAGAAGAAGACTTTCCAGTTTTCATGTCTAAGCCTTCTCTAGTTAATATTATTGTTTACATGACTCCACCTTGCCGGGAGGAGATGAGAGGCGGAATGATTTTGATACTTTGAAATAAGTCACGGTTCACGGTTCATTATACAGTAACTGCATTATTTTCCTAATGAAAAATTATAGTATAATTGTAAACGAAAGGTTGTCCAAACAACAGTAATAATCTCCTTGAACTACGAAATCTTCTCGCCAACATTTCGGTTACTTATTTCGTCTCTTGAACTTTTGTTTAAGCGCAGTGGCATATTTCAATACATCAAAATCATCCCGTCTTCATTCCAACTGGCCAAACAGGATCTGTAAACAGCCCCTTTCAAAGGTAATATTTCCTGACAATTGCGTCTGCATGGGTAAACGAATGCTCCCTTCACGGAAGTCATAGTGTACGTATATGCATGTGCTTGGTATCTTAGAGTAATGTATGACACTCAAGGTATCACTGCAATATGTTAGTTAAATTAGTTCACCAATAGGTTGGCGATTATATATACATCACGGTTCAATGGTTGACTTTACAACTTCACGTTAGGATGATGCACTAAAAGAGATGAAACAAACCCGCAATAAGAAATCAGCTCATTTTGAACCACACGACTTATTCGAAATATAGGTAAATGTGACAGGCATGTGCAGGGCGCAAAATAACGGCCGGTCAACGGACAATGTCCGGCCAGAATGCGGAGTTGTCCGGTCAAATTCTTACCTTGCCGGTCATTTTGACCGGTGACTTTCGGTAAAAGAACAAACTAATTTTCATTTTATAATAATAATCAAAATAAAGTGGTCAAGTACAGTATTAACCATAACATGCATGTTGTCGAATATTTTGCAGAAAAACAACTTCAATGTACACCAGTTTTCGCACGCAGTACGTCACAAAGCTCATAGGCCATGGCCATGCCTGAGTTAAGGTCATGTTTTTAGCCCAGTATAAGCTGTTTTGTGTGAAGGAATTTTTAATTACTGATCACAGTAAGGCTTTTTGTACTGCTATACTGGGAAAATGGTCACATTTTTAGGGGCATACTTTGCTAGGCTTTGCTTTAAGCTTAATAATTTGACCGGCCAGAAATTCGGTATGTCCAAGCTAAAATTGAGTTGGCCGGTCACCTTGACCGCCGACCCTCCAGCCGTTATTTCGCGCCTTGCATGTGACATCACTCCGTGAGATATATATGGATATTTGTACATTCCATTTATAAGAAGAGTAAACTTCAGTGTTCTTTCCAGCCGACACTTGTGCTTAACGAGTTAGTTTGCAATGACTAGCGCCCAGTAGTGAAATCCGTAAACGCTAACAAGAGGGGTTGACAAGGCGTGGAGAGTGACAATATAATAAACATAGAAAGCTCCAGTATTTATTTTTGGTTTTAGCAATTCACTAGTGCAATTAGTGGTTTTTGAAGAAAGGATTTAACGTGGAATAAAAGATTTCGCTAAAGCGAAGCTATTTCATGTTGGGCCACATGCACAAGGTATCTAATGGTAAGATCTTATCATAAGAACTTTCCAGGTTATGATTTTGCAATCTGCAAAAAATATTGAGGACTCAGTCTTAAAAGCGGCATGGAATTTTAATTAAGGAAACTCAGCTCCACACCCCACCCCACATTACACCCCTACCAGTGTCTCTCTAGAGGAGTTACAATCTTATAGCCGCAAAGAGCCATCTTATTAGCTTGTAACTTCATTAATAATAGACGCCACCTGGCCGACTCAAAATATTATTGAAAAAACACACATGAAGGTTGAATGGGGTTTGAACCTGCACAAGACTAGTAGAAATGTTAATGGTTGGAGCAGGAACATCCTCTAATGAAACAAGTTCATAAAAATATCACAATTCGTTGTAAGCATGCTTAGACAGTCTGCACCAGTAGCCAAAACAAACACACTTCATGCCCATGCCATACCCATCAACCGGTTTGGAAGATGCATGTAAAATAATATCAAGATTTTGGGTATCTCAGTTGATAGAACTAACTGTTGAAATATTTTGTGCATGGAATATATAGCCTTAGTATATAAACATCAACTTGCGGTTATAGATCAACAACTGGATTCTGTAGCTCAGTTGGTTGGAGCGGAATTGCAGGGCCACAGGTTCGATGCCTGCCAGAGGAGCCTATCAGGGTTTTTTCCGGATTTTCTCTTGGGTCCGTTTTTGCAGAGAAGATTGAGTTTAGCTGAACAGCTGGGGGTCTGGGGTAGCTGCGGGAGGCTGACTCCTGTACCCAATAAGTGTAGTCGAGATGCAATGTGTTAAAGCAGACATGCACTATAAACTGGCTAAAGATGGGGAATGCGTTGTTTTTCTTGTGCTGTGAAATCAATTCCAGCCATTTTTTCCTGATTGTCGGGTTTCCAACTGAAACTAATTTCCACACGTCACGAATTTAACTCAAACAACTTAATTTTTACTGCACTGAATCTTTTGGTGAGAAGATTGAGTTTCAAAACTCAATTCAAGATTGAGTTTTTGGGGCCGTTTTACGGTCCTAAAAAATCCCTGAAAAAAACTCTGCCTATATAGTTGCATTTTTCGCAACTGCTCCTGGTTAGGTCTAAGAAATGTATAAAATTTATAATCGAAATTTCCATCTACAAAATCCTTCAACAATTAAGTAACATAAATAGCAACACAAAGGAATTACAGTATTATTAACATTGGTGTAACTTTACTTTTTTGACCACTTGCCCTCCGGGCAAGTTGGACATGAAAATTAGTTGCCCTGAATAAAATTCACTTGCCACCAGACATTGGCCACTGGGGTACCTAGGTAAGGGGTATAAATTAAGGGGACAACATGTCGACCCGTTCTTCCACTGCTCTATATATGGCTATGTTATACTGCCTCAGATCTGGCTTTGGCCAACGAAAAACAAAATTTGAATAAGTATATGCACTATAAAAATATTATATCCGACAATGAAAACATAAACTTAAAGATTCCCAGCTTTTTGTGGCAAGGCAACTTGCCCAATCGAGCAAGCAATACAAAACGTTTACTTGCCCGATGCACGAGGTACACAATAACCTAGAACAATGAAATTTTAGAAGTTCCCTAACCATGTAGTTTCATCAACTTAGTTGTATCTGTGTTGCTTAACTGTAAGCGTGAAGTGTATACTTGGTTGTATCTGTGTTGTTTCACGGCAATATTACCTTTTGACCTTGTGGAGAAGTTGCGTCAAGATTTTATCGACGATTTCTGGCGAGTTCTTGTCCGCATCTAGAAAGACGTCTTGAATACTTTCGACTACATCCATGCCGTATTTTAATTTCAGCTATGGAATATAACACAAACATATTTAATTAGATGTCATTCCAAGGTAGAAGCAGTGAAACCTAAGAAAAGCACTACGAATCAAGCCAAAAGCAACGTTTTACCTCTTCTAAGGCAGGAATAACTGTCGTAGGAAGTTTCTTTGACGTTGGTATCTTTCGTGGTTCTAAAATGACAGGGACAGTTTTTAAGGTTACAGGACCCTAAAACTTTAAACATTAAAAGTTGTATAGTTGTAGAAATAGATCTGTCGTCATCAAAAATTTCAAAATTAAAATCTTTCAAAGTTATTAAGTAAAACGCTTAAATACAATCCTAAAACATTTGACCAGTACTCAGGGGTACGTGAAATTCTCCTCGTCGAAGCAAGAGTGCGTTAGATTTGTTTCTTTGAAAAACATGCTCATGTCCAATTCACTCTTACGGAGACACTCTTTTGTGTTAAGAAATAAGAAGTCCTACAAGGCGAGATACCGCGGGTATCCAACAGCGAGGTTTCCCTTAAGAAGAATATAGAATAGCCCTTCTCCTACAGATTAAAATAATACTTAATAGGTATTTCAAATAGAATTTGCTGTTTTCAAAGACACGTTTGTGTCCAATACACTCTTTCGACACATTATTTTGTTTCATAAAATGAAAAACCTAAGTTGTTACTGTAGAACGTTTTTAATTTTTTTAACTTAGGCTTTTTATTTCATTTTATAAAACAAGAGAATGTGTTGAAAGAAATATGAAAGGGTGAGTTTGGGGCTTATCCCAACCCACCCTACCAACATTCTGTGTGAGTGGAAAGCGAAGAACCGGGAGAAAACCCAATGATTCTCGGTGGTATCGAGCGTTGACTGACTCTTTTCACACAAGTGGAGTCAGGATATACTCTGTACAATTCTTTGTTTGCAATGACGTAATTTTGGAATTTCAGTTGACGGGCAGGTATAACAAAAAACGGCTATTTTAATGTATGGATCGAGTTTAGAGACAGTGTGAGACTAAAGAGATGAATTACCATTCAGTTTTTCTGCTACAAACAGTCTGATAGGAGAAAAATCGTCCACAAATTGTTTGATTGCCCGTCATTTGGATGAAAAGTCACGTGATTGCAAACAAAGAACATCGTTCGTTTGTCAAAACTGACAAAGAAATATGAATGAAAGTCGTGAAAAAAAGTCTATACTGTACGATACCTCACCTTTGCTAAGCTCACCTGCAGGAGTTATCCCATTCATATCCTGTGGTTTTGGTTCTTTTTCCGTGACAAATTTCCACGTGTCGACCGGATTTCTTGTTGGACCCTCATCACCACTAGGAAAGAAATTGAAATTAATGTAATGAAAATCACAAGTTTGGAATTGTTCAATATTCTTTGGAAAAAATGCTTTTGATGATTATACAACGTCTTATAGAAAGCATTATTAGAGAGATTTGACTTTCACTATCGCTACCACTA